CTTTCCCTGCAGCATGGGCTATGCTCTGCATTGTGATGACTTTAGGCTTAATATTATGAAAAGTACCATTCAGACAATATTTTGACAGATCTGGCAACTCCAGGTGCATTACTGGGTTTCCATGGAGGTGATACACAACAAATTAACATATATGACTGACTTGACAGTTTGTCTTTAGTTAAATATGGAAAACCTGAGTAACTTTCTTGTGATAGGAACATTTTATTAATGTATTACTTAATGTGGTGTAGTAGAGTCTGTTCTGTATTCAAAGACAGTGCACAGTCTTGCTAAGAAACTTTATTTGCTTCCATGTTTCTAATGATCTTTTCTAATGTTGAAACTGAGTTAGCTTTTCATCTATCAGCGTGCTGATCCAAGGAAGGCAGTGTCTGAACCCTCCTCCCCATTTTTATGCAAATAATGAGAACTTCCACATACCCCAAGTCATTCTTTTACTATCCATAAGGAACTAGGACATCCAGCTATACCCCTAAGTTGCTAGGTATTTCTTTTCAGAGCTACAACCTCTCAAATATATTCCAGACTTTCTGTAGGAGTTCTTAGTACTTCTGGTCTAGAAATAAATGGTTATTTTAGCAATTTTAACATAGGTAGAGAAACACAAAATCTGCAATTTAAAATTTAAAGTTCCCAAAATTATTCTGTGCAGTCTCACCACTCAATCACTCATCTTTCATGCAAAAATGTGTGTGCTTATAGCTTGGGTAAGAAGAGAGTATTAATTCATCTAACCTCAACAGACAGGTTCTTTGTACGTCAGGGAAACTTATGTTTTCACTTGGTCCTTTCTGTATGGTGCCTTGGCTGAGGTGCCTGTTAACTGCCCAGGTAATGGAGAGGAGAGAATGAACTGATAATGCTGAGACTCTAAAAACATGACTTGCTGCATCTTGAGCAAGTAATCTGTAACTAAAGTGGTAACATGTTTTTTTATTGTGTATAGTAGCACAGAAGAACTTGTGGGTTCTTGTTTTTTTTTTTTTTTTCCCCACTTCTCCTCAATATAACCACTGACTGGCAGGACATTTTCCAAAAATGCATCTACTCACCATTTTGGATTGTGGAGTGAAAGATAAAAACACACTTGGTAGTCTATTTCAACAGTTAGTCATCATTACTCTTTGGCAGCCAAGGCTTTTTCTCCAAGGTTAAGTAGCTGTCTTTGTTAGTGGCATGTTCTCCCCCACAGAGCTAGCTGCTTGCCCTGTTAGCAGAGTAAATCTTTGTGTTGAACGCCTCTTGAAGCACTCTTTCTACTCTCATTTCAGTACTTTCATGCTTTCCAAAGCTGTATACAGAAATAAAATTGCCTCTTTCCTCTAACTCTGTTCCTTTGAGTGAGTGAAGAGTTGAATATATATGCTTTGATCTGCAGGTTAGGGAACTGATTCCTGATCACGGCACTGAAACTCTTATTTTTAGCATTTGTTTATATTGTTGCTTGTGACTTTGTTTAACTGTACTTGTTTGAACTGTGAGCAAAGTGATGCTACTTTGAAAATCTGGTTTATAAGGAATGTGATTGGAAAACTAAAATGGCCCTTGCCAGAATAGGAAATGACAACGTTGTGCAATTCTGCTTCAACTAAAGACAGGCATTTTTTTTTTCCAATGCTACAAAATGCTTCAAAATCTTGCTGCTTCATTAAGTAACCTGTTGTAAGGCTGCATTGTATTAAACATGAAGGAAAATTCCTTAAAATACGCTTTTAAATTAGTTGTCTGAGATTTATGGGTCTGGTAGAAGAATTTGCAACAATTCAGTGAAGCAGTACCATTCAGATCAAGTCTGATGGTATGCAAGTCTGTGTTTTAGGAGCTTTACAATGAGCAAAGCGTAGCCACTGTAGACCTCAAATATGCAAATGACAGTAATTGTTTGCTTAAAAATTGCACCCAGCAAATGTCTTATCCACAATATAGGTTCTGTGTCCTCTGTCCCATTTCATTCTGTCTGTCTCCATAACCTTTTGTTCCACCTGTGATGTTTTTCGGCAGCCACATGATAAAATGTCTAGGCTAGATTCCAAGGGTGTAACAAAAAGCTGTATTTATTTTTATGGAAGCACTAACAATTCTACTTGGATTGGATTTCTTCATAGCAAAACCAACGAATTATTGAACAGATTGGACTTGGCTTTGCCAAAGAGTGATTCCTGTCAGATTGCTAATCGTGGCCCAGAATCTACAGCATGGGTAAGCAAAACCATGGCATGTGCAATATTTTCTGTCAGCTTTCCAGGTGCTGTCAATAGTGTAATATTAGAATATTCTAATTGAGCTTAATTGCCTAGACATAACTCAGTGAGTACCAAGGAGTCTTTCTGGGTGAATGAGATTGCCTACGTTGTCTCTTACACACTGGCAGAGTATCCTACGTAGTAGGGGACTGCCTTTATTACTCACAGATGTCTCTGATAAATGAGTGCCAGATTTATATTCTAAGTTCAGATCAGAATCTTAAATGTGCTCTGTACCCATCGGTTGGTGGCAAGCTTATACGAAATCTCAACTAGTTCATGTCAGCGGGTGCTTTACTGCATTGAAAATCTAGTCAGAAGAGAAGCTTATTTCTCACTGCATCCTAAAAGTAGTTCTACAGACTGTTTGGGGAATTTGTCCCGGTTTGAATGGGCTGGTAAGCATCAATGTAATTAGGAAATAGGTAAAGTATTGCTTAATTATTCTAATTGCCTCAAAAAGGCTTTTTCACATATGATTAGTCTCTTCGTGTCTAAACCAAGCTTTCCTACTAAAAACTTGCAGTGAGAAGTATTAACCCTGAGACAGAAGTATTTCTCCTTTAGGGACATTCATAATTGGAGGAAGACAGAGAATTGTCATTACAAGCAATGGTCCTTATTCAGCAGAAACTTGGAAGTATCCAATCTGGGCAGCCCTCTGTTGTATACAGTCTTAAACACAAACAGTTGAGGAAAGAGAGGGAAAGATTTACCTCCATATTTCCTTGGAAGCCTTGGAAATGTGCAAGACCCTCCTGTTCAGAAATTGCTGCCAACAGAATCTATGACAGCTCTGTCTTGCCTCTAGTGTCTCTTCCTGGTTTTCAATGCATGAAAAAGAAAGGCGATATGGAACATATGGTCCTTTCCCCTTTGATTCTTCAGGTCATTTTGTGTCTCTGGAAACTCTAGAGAAATCTTAACGTGTGTGGGCAGATATATAGCTTGAAGGAGCCAACTTCTGCCCAGCCTTGTTGGGCAGAAGGTCAATTGCAAGAGAGTGGCTTTCGGACTGTCTTTGGTAGTCCCGGGTGGTCAAACAAGATGTGAAGGACTATGGGAAGGGAGAAAAATTGTCTTGAAACCACTTCTACCTCCCTCTTAAACATCCAATGCTCCAAACAGCGGGGATCTTGTTCTTCGGTAGGGACGACCCAGGTCTGTAGCCTTTCATATGGTGTGAACATTGAACTGTGAAGACAAGTGAGCTCATGTCCCCTGGACTGACTTGGATTTCAGCGTTTTGTTGTGGTGTCTTCATATCTATATAGAAGAGGGTGGGTGTTTGAAGGAACCCTAAATTCTTTCAGGTGTACAGGTCCTACTTTTAGCCTTTGTCTTCTACTTCATCTACTTATGTGTGTCTTTCTCATTCCAGTTTTTGAAGGGTTTCTTGTAAGTTATGCCAAATTACATACCGTAGTTCATCTTTAGCTTCACTAGTATCCAAGCATATAAAATACATAGTTTATCTGTACTGTTCTTTACTAATACCAGTTGATATTATACGTGTCTTTTTGCAAGGCAGCATTTCGATAGCTTTGTGAACCAATCCACCACTTGCTTTTAATGCAGCAACGCAGTGAGCAAAATGTCTTCCCAACCCACTTGGATGAAATACGGTCTATAGGCATACGCGCAGCCTCTGTGCTCTGAGGCTGAAGCACAGAGCCAATGAGTTGTTATCTAAATAATCTTGGCACAGTGCCAAAATGTTAAACCAAGGGTTAAAACTGAATTCTAGTTTGGATGTTATCTTGGACCTGCCCTTTGTCTGGGGTAATTAAAAGATTCAGGAACAATGTATTTGAAATAGCGAAGTGTGATAAGCTTAGGAAGTGCCTGATATTCATGTTAAAAGGAGGGCATATATATATATATGTATGTGATTGTTTTAAATTTAAAATTCGTGTTCTAAAAAATGTTTGGGACAATGTAATCATCAAATTTTTTCCCTCACACCGTTTCTTTGATAGTGATATTAATTTAGCATGCCTAATTCAAATATCGGTGTCAAATATTACTCGATGTGCGTGAACAAATTTAACTTCTTTGGAGTGACTCTGTCATCAGTGACTTTTTTGGCCTGCTTATTTAATCAAGCTCATAATTAATTTTAATCCTGTCTTTCAAAGTGTTACCAATCCTGTGTAGATTTTTATTGTCTTCCAACTTGATTAACATACACTCCACACAATTCTCCAAGCCATTACAGAGAGTAATGAATAATATTGGTCCCAGAATGAGTCTCCCTGGACACATGTAACAACTCCTCCCAACTCAAAATTGAGCTATTAATAATTGCTTTCTCTATTCAGTCTTTTTAGCAAATTACGTGCCTGTCTTTTTAATGATGTCATTCTGCTCGCATATATCAAGTTTTGAGAACATTGTGTAGACCTGCAACAAATTCCTCAGTAAAGTCAAACCTGCACACTTCTTGTGTTAAATTATACTGTCTTGTTATTTAGTGTGCTACATTATGTCCGTGCTTAAAGACTTTACAGTGTAACTTCCTATATATAAAATCCTAAGGATCCTATAAGATCCTAATGGTAGGCTGGCTCTTTGCTAGGAACTACAGCTTGTGAAAGACAAGGGCTAGTTATTGTAATGAAAACTTACTCAGCTTAATACTTTATTTATGATGTGTAGTTCAGATTTTCAGTTCTCTTGACTGCCCCACAAATCATATATCAGACTTGATCTCTCAACTTCTGTTGCCCTACCTCCACAAATGCTTTTCCAATACTCCTGTGGAAATAATCCTGGGTTCCCCTGTTACCACGCCTCCCTTCTGCCCTGTTATCATGGTAGTATTTTCAGTACTTTTCTTTCTTCCCAGAATACCCCATCTCACTATCATATGTCCTGATTGTGTTTTCTCATTGCTCAGGATCTCTTTATGCTTGCCATTGGAACATGGCTGCCTTGTTGTGACGTGCAGATGGACGTTCAGCCAAATCGAATAACTGAGAGCTTTAGACCACTTCTTGCTTAAATTCTAGTCTTGAGAGTAATCTGTTTTTTAAGTAACTGGAATCATTCAACTGTTTCTGTTTTGTTAATTACCTGTATAAAGATTTGGGAATAATAATTTGGGGGTTTTAGTTCCACCTATCCCCACACCAATATGCTGAACAACAGACTAGGAGCCATACTTATAAGCAAGCTCTTCGAGAGGATGAAAACAGAAGATTAGAGGAAATGAAGCAAGAACAACGGAGGAAGGTAATTATACATTAACAGTTTGCATATTGTATCATTTTTGCATGCTGTGAAACCAATTAAATACATTGATTACTTGTAGCCTACGCACAGAGCTTCTCTTGAGCAAAAGTGATTTAGTCACTGTTTTCAAATATGGTGAGAGATGAGCCAAGCTGTAAAATTTGGACAGGGACAGGACAATTACCTTCTGAGTTCAAGGCTATTTGCATCTTGATGATTAGCTCCTGCTCGCCTCTCCATTTGAACTATTGTGCAGAGCGTTTTTTGACCATGGTACCTGATTTCATAGGCTAAGGAAACCAATTTCCTCTCTTTCAGGCAGAAGTAATCTTACTGAGATATTCATGATGATCTCAGACTCTGAATAGTCTTTTTCTAGAGAATCAAGGTCCATGTGCCCGGCCTCCCCAAATGGGGATATGGAAGCACCTGGATTTGCTCTTAAGTGTCTATGCTTCTCTATTGCTTTGCTAACCACCTAAATGAAGAGTTTTGAATTGTCTAAAAAGCAGATGTACAGTAACTGCAAGTTTGAACTCCATTTTCCACATATGCAGCATGCATTGCCTGAAATGTGTCTGAACCACTGTAGTCCCTCTGGCATAGATTTGGGTACCGTATTCACGTGAAATTCATCTACACAAGACGATGGCACTGTGCTAAGTTGTCTGTCTTGGCTCCAGGTCTGACTGTGCAAGGATGGGGAGTGCAGCATTTGAAAATCATATTAGCAAATCATTCGAAAATGTGTTACCAAATACTGAGCCTCTTGCTGTGCCTCTGCTGTTACTAACATCCAAATTGTTGTTAAACTACTTCCCTAGTAGCAGAATCTTAGGTAGTGCAACAAATTTCATGCAGCGAGTTTCTACTGGAGCTGAACAAGTGACTCAGCCCCCTTCACAGATATCTTTTTTTAAATGTTGGGGATAGGTGTCCTCTTTTCATAGTATTCTAGCAACCAGGAGGCTGGAAACAAAAAGTGGAGTGAAAGGGAGGGTCTTAATTGCTTTCTTATCAGGTGCATGTTTATGAGATCCCACCTGGAATGTTCAGCTCTGGAGTCCTCAACACAAGAAGGACATGGAGCTGCTGGAGCGACTCCAGAGGAGGGCCATGAAGATGATCCAAGGGCTGGAGCACCTCTGCTATGAAGACAGGCTGAGAGAGTTGGGGCTGTTCAGCCTGGAGAAGACAAGGCTCCGGGGCGATCTTATTGCAACCTTCCAGTACTTAAAGGGGACCTACAGGAAAGCTGGAGAGGGACTTTTTACAAGGGCGTGTGGTGATAGGACAAGGGGCAATGGATTTAAACTGAAAGAGGGCAGATTTAGATTAGAATAAGGAAGAAATTTTTCACTGTGAGGGTGGAGAGGCACTGGAACAGGTTGCCCAGAGAAGTTGTAAATGCCCCATCCCTGGAAGTGTTCAAGGCCAGGTTGGATGAGGCTTTGGGCAACCTGGTGTAGTGGAGGGTGTCCCTGCCCATGGCAGGGGGGTTGGAACTAGATAACTGAGGTCTCTTCCAACCCTAACCATTCTATGATTCTTTGATTCCCAGGAAAAAATCTTTGAAAGCTAGTCCTGTGGGGTTTAAGGCTGGTAGCTATTGTGTTCTTTGTCTTTATTCTTCCATACAGAAAATAAATACAGGTGTGCAGTAGCATGCCTGACTTTATGAGTTTGGTTTAAGTGGCTCATGTAGAGCTTTAGACTCTTTACTGATTTCCGCAGATTGCTAAGGTGTTGGCTGCTTCTAAGGTCGTTCTTTCTTGGTACACGGTTCTAAGTGCTCTTTGCCTTCACAGTTGTTGCTGCCTATTGAGCAGAGTAATGCACTACTTACAAACCTACTGTAAATAATATGTATTTTAAAGGCTCAATAGTTGTCCCTCAGATATATGTTGGCTCGTTTCTACTTCAAACTAATATTTATTAAAGTAATTGTGAATTCTGTCTTGTGTGTACCTCCTAGCACAGTGTAGCTATAAAACCTATAGGTATTGTCAGTTCCCTTTTTTTTTTCAGAACAGGTTTTAGTATGTATTGCTTGATTTAGAAATTTTCAGTGCGCTCTGAACACCACATCATACACACACAATATATTTCAGAACATTACTCCAAGAGAGGACTCAGCATATTGGAAAGTCAGATACTGGGTTTTAATTTTCAGGTTGAATAGTTATTTAAAACAGTGAAAATTAAGGTTGGCTTTTTTATTTCTTAATCCTGTTTCTTCTTTTAGGGCTGGACAAATATTGATACACAACACATTCGCAGTTATTGATTTTCTTCATACATTTATTGCATAGTTTTTATTTAATGTTCTACTTAAATTGATTTAAAAAAAAAGAAAAAAACCCCAAGCTTTTGTGGTTCCATGCAGTTATTGAAACTTTTATCTAACCACTTCATTTTATTTTAGTTCCTATTCCTATTGCTGCTCAGTTGCTATGGAAAATATGAAAGACGGGTCAGTTCTTATCCCTTCTCCCTTGCCCTGCAAGCCAAATTCTCTTGGTAGAAGAATCTGCATCTTCAATTCTGGGGTGCATTGCAGGGAGCAAGAGCCAGACAAACAAGTGCACGTGCAAAGCAGACTCATAGAATCTGGGTTTCCTTCGCTGTCCTGGCTAAAATTCCATAAGCAAACTCTCCTCTGGAAAGAATTCCCTTCAACACTGTTTATAAACCTTAAATATTATGTAACGTAAGGATGGTAGGCTGCTGCAGCGCTGGGAGCTTGCACACTCTTTCACCACATCAGCAGGTATCATTTGCCCTTGCCTCACCCTTGAGAGAGCCCCAGGGAGCTGGAGGTGATACACCATGCCACATAACCCTCCTTCATCTTCTCCTCGTGCTCCACAGAGGCAGAAGGTGAAGGGCATGTCTCCTTCGTACCCCACGGATGTGACGGCTGTGTCTGCTCCTGCTAGATGACTTCAGCTGTCTTCCTCCTTGGACCCACAGGGAAAGTCAAACCCATGGGTTGGGGCAAGAGAAAGCGGACTGGTGTCTGGCAGACTCCTTTAAATGTAGGACTGTAAATGTTTGAATCCTGTAACTCCCCACTTTTTAAGGCACAAAAAAAACTCATCCAAAGCAACGCTGAACAGAAAAATGAGTTCAGTTTTTAACATACTGCTGTCACATAAATAAAATGCTGCTGAGAGAAGTTCTGGGAATGACATGTGACTCTAGCTGAAGTTAACACCGTGTGGAATTAATTGGGTTTGCAACATAGGCATGTTAATTAAAAGTAAGTTTGTTGCTTGGTTGTTTTTTGTTGTGGGTTTTTTTTTTTTCACTTTTATCATTTCTAGGCTGAATTAATGGAATTTAAGCAAAAGTAGGAAGAGGAAGCCAGGACAAGAGCACGTCAAAATGAACAGAGGAGGTATGATGCAAAAATGCAGAATACACTTTAAGTGAATTCCTATATGCAAAGGGTCTGAAAATTGGAGGCATTCATGCTTTAGAAGATAATTGCAATGAGGATCCCTGACCTCATCTCTGGTTTAACTTTTCCTTCAGATGAGCTGCTGATATCCATCATTACAACTGCTCACTGTAATGCAATATGACCCAGAGTGCCTTTTTCACTGAATTTATCCTATCGGTGTAGGATAAATAAATAGGGTACCATAGGGTAGAAACTATTAGTAGTTTCACGGGTAGCTACTTTGACAGTAGTTTCAAATAAGAAATATTTTATTCATTTATTTATTTTATTTCATTTTCTTTTCAAATGAACTACTTTGTCCATGCCACATTTTGCAGTTGCCTGTCACTGAAGTTAACAGGCAGAGCAAAACATGGGATAAAATACCAGTACGGACAGAAGCTGAAGCACAGCAAGGCCTTCTGCAGCTGCGTTGCTTCGCGCCCTGGGCTGTGCCCCACTGCTGTGTCCCCTCTGTGCTCAGCGGTTCTAATCTTGCACTTCTGTCTCTTAACTGACTTTCCATTATCTTGAAGCACAGCTTTATTCTCAGCTTTGTTTTCTGCTGGTAAAAAGATACACGGCTCAGGCTAAAAGATAAAAACACCATTTGTTTCTTTTTTTATATCATTAGGGAAATATATAAAAAAAAATTACTTCTGTAGGCAACCACTCTCCATACTGTTTTCATTTCGTTTTTTTTTTTCTCTAGCAAAGATATTGAGATAATTACCCATAGAAGTTAATGAAGGATTTTCGATTCACTCCATCTCATGTCCCTAGATAGAAATAATCCAGTGTCTTGCATTTTACATCATTCTTACCAACAGCATTGTAAAACATTAAAACAACAGTCATGTCTAAGCATGTGTGTCAGTCCTAAGCATTAATAGGGGGGGAAAAGAAACAGTTTTCAAAAGGTTTGAAAATATTTAAAACAGGTTGAGGGAAACTGTATTTGTATGCGTGCATGCTTTCCAGATTGATAGAGCGGTACAAGAAAATGCTAGAGTTCATTTCAGAGCTGGATGGTAGGGAAAGTTGTCAGCTATGCAAATTGTCACTATTAGTAACAAGCTTAAGTGTTTTTTTTTTCACTGGCATTAGGAAATCAGTACTTCTGGAAACTCTCCTTGTGTACTGAAGGTTGAAATCCTACCTAAGGTGAATTGTCGAAATAGCTGACCTCCCCGATAAGGTGGGTGGTGGTACACAGGTCGTCTTTCTAGGGAGAATTTTGATGCATTTCTCACAGCAGCTGAGGGACACCTTTTAATCACCAGTGAATTGAAAATGAAATCCACCCTATCTCATGCCAGTCTATGGTTATTCAGCACAGGCTTGAAAAACATAGGAAGACACATATTGAACTGAGAATTGGGAAGGTCACTCAGAACGTTAAATTTCAGAAGTCTGTAATCTCCTCAGCTACCTTCAATCATTATTTTTTTTTTTTCTTGTATTTTAAGGGTAAATAATGATTTTCTGGACCGACTCCAGAACAAAACGCAACCTCGTGGATCTTCTGAGAGTCTGGACTACCTCAGTAACGGCACCTGGGTAAGCTTTTTGGGTACAGAACATGAAAGCAATAAGATTGTTTAAAATTTTATGATTTCCCTGGATACTATTATATGTCTATGTGCGTTTAGCCTACCTGACAGAACTTATAGTCTTGTCTGGCTGCCTACAATAGCTTGTAAGAAGAAATCCTGTCTTAAATATATAGGCTGTCCCAATGGGAGGAGGGAGGAACAGCTACTCTTGCAGCAGAACTCAGTTGTTTTGCATTCAAGGTACAGTGAGGAACCGAATCCAAGGTACGTCCTTAAGTTTAGAGCAAGGGTAGTGAAATCATAAAGGTTTTTTTGAAAGTCTTTAAATGAAAGATGTTTGGGAATGCTGTAAATATTTTAATATGATATTGAAAGTGGAGGGAAAAGATCCCATGAAAGGTACAACTGTTCTTTTTTTACCTGTATAAAATTATGACAAAGACTCCATTGCATCCAATTTAAAATACATAGTATTTGTGAAGATTCTGTGAAGAAGAGATATCTTGACTGTAGCCTATTAAACATCCATTAAATCTTTTTAGCTGTCCTAATGAGACATTAATGTGACTGTTATTTAGAATTGCACTCTTCAGTGTTAAAAAAAAATAACAATGTAGTATTGCCATCATGGAAATTTACATTTGGTTGAAATTCCCTTGCTGAGAGTGTCACAGTGCAAAAATGTAAAATTTACAAAGACTGAGCAGCAAAAGGATGAGAGCCTAAGAGAATTTAGTGAATGTGCCAGTGTAGAGAAAGATATTTAGTTGATAATCAGAAAAGCTTGGATTGGATTAGTTGAACTGTCTGATGTGGATGTGTATCTTGGCAGATGAACACCAAGAAGACTTGGGTTCAAGCAGCTACAAAATCAAGGCATGTTAAAGAAGCAGATATTGTTGCTGCTGGAGTTTTCAAGATACTAGAGTGGAAAAATGAGTATCTTAATCACTACAAGCTTTGGACAAGCCCTGAGCTGTGACAGAGGGCTTGGGAACCTCTGATTGAGGCTGTCTTTGTGTGTAGCAGTTCTCTTGGTCTTGCTGAGAGGAGGAGGACCTGCCAACTTGACCTTCTGTAAAGTCTGTGGGCAGCTGCTTGGACAACCAGTTGGTTAGGGGCTTTACTGGTAGGGCCTGTGTCATGTGCCAGGAAATTCAGGAGCTGTTGGAAGCCAAACTACAGATGTCAGGGCTAGTAAAAGTGTGTGAGTAAGAGAGCACTATGATTCTATGATGGAATGTCTGCAGATAGCAGAATTAGAGGCTTCAGGTAGGGTAGAGTCAACTGATACAATGAGGGTGGTGAAACATTGGAACATTTTTCCCAGAGGAGTTTTGGATGTCCCCTCCCTGGAGATGTTCAAGGCCAGGTTGGATGAGGCTTTGAGCAACCTGGTTAGTGAAAGGTGTCCCTGCCCATGGCAGAGGGGTTGGAACTAAATGATCTTTAAGATTCCTTCCAACTCAAACTATTCTATGATTCTATACCTAGTAAGGGGCAAAAGGTATTATCTGCTGGATGAGGCCTGGTTAACAAAGGCAAAGAGGGCAGAAATTAATATTTTTATTTTGTTTTGTGTCCTTTATCCCAATTTGTAAACTGTTTCCTGATAAACTCAGAAAAGAATGTGTGACACGGCCCAGATTCCCAGTATCTAAACTCAAGCATCTCCGTCAGAGCACCTGCTGTCACTATCGAAAACCTTGCCATTGTCTACAGAAGGAGTGGGGTTTTGTCTTTAGCCAGATGCCATATGTCCTCTTTCACAGGACAGGTGTTGGTACCACCAAACGAGTGGAGTGCACTCAGCCCGGGCACAGTTTTAACAACAGACAGCTCTGTGACATACCCAGCCAATCTATGCGCTTTTTTTTTTTTTTTAAATACATACATTCAAAGAATACATCAGCACAATTGCAATAGAACCTGATGTGTAGAAGTGATAAATTTGCTACTCTAACGTTTACTTAGTGGCTCCCAAGGAGCCTGCCTTCTGTTGGGTAATGCTAGATGATCCATTTTTCCTTTATGCTATGATGTGAGATTAGAAGACTAAACAAAGCAGGGAAAGAATAAACTATGAAAGAATAACTCATAATGGAAAGTCATTAAAAATGATATTGGTAAAAAGAGCAAGAAAGAAAAATATCTCTCAAAAGATAGGCTGGAGGCTGCAACCTCAGTGTCTTTGATTGTACTGAGATTCTTCTCCCTTCCCTTGGGATTTTAAGCAAAAATTGCTGAATGCCAGGTGAGACTTACAAGTCGTAGTCTGCAGCGTGGCGTTTTACATTATGAGGGAGCTAAGTGAAGCAGGTCAGACTGTATACTGAGATTAAAGGAAATGAAAAAGATTCCCAAAGTTCAGACCTGGCGGTAATTTTTGAGCCTGCTCCATCTGTGCAGTGGCACTGAAAAGGAAATATTTGTTCTCTTTACCAGTTCTTTTTTTCCTGTTTAAACTTTTTATAGTCATAACGGCTTCACACTTACAGAACCTGAACATCGCACTGTGTTATCGATATACTGGCTGTGTTTGTCATTATTCCTTCTATTAGCCTGGTTTCCTAAGGAAGTATGTATGATTGTGCTGTCTGTCTGCATGTAAAAAGGCTTTCAAACTTTCAACATAGATTCCCAGCAGACATGGAGAGGAGGTGGGGAAGACAAATTTATTGTGTGTGTCTGGGCAAGGGGGAGGAGAAGAGTCGCATTGCGCAATTGTCCTCTAATTGATAGGAAACCAGTTTTCATTAATTCATCTGCCCTCCAGACATCTTGTATTTTATTAGGAACGTTTATAAGCTGTTATTTCGAGAAGTATCTTCATGAAAGTAGTCTTTTCTCACTTTTTGATTATAAATGCCAGGGCCCTCTCTGGATGGTTGCGTGGTCTCTTTTTTTAATGGGAAGACAAACTAATGAATTTCCACTTCTCCCTGTGAGAAACTGCACCCTTGAGAAAGCATCCAGTCTTGATGTATGATATCAAGAAAATTTTGATGTCCTTTGGGCTGCCATTATCTCTAACATAAGGATGAACCTTTTAGGATAGGAAGGTAAAAAAATAACAATCGTCATTTTGACATCAAAGTTTAATCAGTAAGATTTAATCCTTACTCAGCTGGGACCTGTGACTGAGACAGTATCTGTTCACTGTAATGGCACAAATGGTCAGTTTTAATTAAATATTAAAACACTTCTATTTTTACAAAAGAATAACTTTAAGACAGTTGCACATTTTAATATTCCCTCCCTTATGAGATTTGCCCGTGTTCAAAGGATTTTCAGAGTCCAAGTGCTAATGCATGGTAAGCCTGTAACAAAGCCCTTGTTGATTTTTTGCATGGAAATGCAGCACTGTCAAGGACCCTTTTGTCTATTCCGTTAATGGGGAGAGGTCACATGGTGGATAGATGATATTTATATGTCTACTCTTTAACGAAACGCTAGTTGTCTTGTTCTACTCTACTCTGAGGTATAGTAGAATGTAGAAGGCAACATGACGTACTACATCTTCCCGTTTCATGTCTCCATTACACACGGTGTCATGCATAAGAATGAGAAATGATCTCTTGGATGGTGACTCTGTTCTTTCAGTGGACGCATAATTCTAGATATTTGTTATGGGAAGCAACTATGCCCTGAATACACACGTGCAGTGTGACAGGAAACCTCATTCTCTTCCTTTCCCATATGCAGAACAGGAACTCAATGGATGCTGGATAAATCTGTTTTGAGGAAACATGATTTGTGGATAAAAATATTTTAAATAAACATGGTTTGTGGGTTAGCACTTGGTTTAGCTTTTGTAGCATGATCCATGGGAATGTTTCTTTGGAGTCTCAACCAGGACTTGATTTATGTCATTGGCTACCAATTTGAGAGGGAGAATGTCACAAAGTTTACTGTTGAAGCATAGCTCAAAGGCCCCTGAAGTCACAAGGCCAACATATATGCCTCAGTTTTCCATACACACAGTCTTTAATGCAGACTTTAACAAGCTTTTACATGGGTAACGTTGCACTGAAAATGCTGGTTTCCCATCACAAATGAAAAGCTTTTATTTGACATGGGAATATTTGGAATTGAGTATTTATATAAGAAGGTTCCAGAGTGCAATCCACAATCGTTACGTTTGTTTTAACAAAGAATGTGGTTTGCTAATTCAGCTTTAACCTGGTTAGTCTACATACAATCTGAGTTGGAAAGATTATTAAATTTTTTCCTAATACTAGTTGTTTGTGGTTTTCTTTTGGTTTGGTTTGGTTTTGATTTTGTTTTTTAAATTGAGAGTAATGTGCTTGTCTTTCCTGGCAGAATGATGGCAGAAAATAAATAAACTACTCAGCAGATATATCAGCATCAATATAGGGACCTCAGCTGAGTAGGTCCAGGCATGCCATAGCTGAGTTTAATGACTTCTCTCTGACAAGGCAGTCAAACAGCATATGCAGACGTGTTCTGCCTGGCCTGACTTTGAGCTCCATCCTTCTTTCCGTTGAAAATCTCATCCTAAAAGAGAATAGTGGGAGTCTGAAGAGGAGTGGAAGAAGCTTTTCAGTCCTTCAAATTGTGTGAGATCAAGAAAGGATTAAGGTATCTGAAGATATTTGGAACACTTCTAGATTGATTTTTTCCCAGCAAAAACAAGATATGTTTATCTCTTGAGTCGATACATCCTGCTATTCATATTGAGTTCAAATCAAAGAAATGTTTATTGCTAGAACTGGAATCTTGCAGAAGGGTTTACTTGGGTTTTTAAGTGGAATTTCAAAAGACAGGAAAGGGCATCAAGTAATCAAGGAAGTGCCACACGACTGGTATAACCAGAATTCCTTGCATAAATATATCAATGTACTGTACCTTGTACATTGTACTGTACTAATGTTGTTTTTTTTTCTTTAATCCAGGGGCCGAACTGCTTGGAATAAAAGAAGAGAAAGGTCAGAATAATGGATTTTTCAGTTCTTTTTAGTACCAATGCTGGTGTTAATGTACCTTCGTATTTGACATTTCCTTATGACAGCTTATGTGGCTTAATTCTCAAGTAATATGAAAGGAAATCTTATTTCCAGCTCTGTGTTTGGGGCCATGCAATGGCACATGCTTATCCTGAAACACATTCTTGTTAGAACTGCAAAACATGTATGTCAAGTCAGAGGAAGTGCCGATGGCATCCAAGGCATCCGCTCAGGGTGCAGTGATATTTGATGCTAAAACCTCAATACAGCCACATTTGCTGTGTCATGGGCTGTGGGTGGATAAACCTGGGCAGCGGAGGAACATGACTGAAAATGCAGGAGGTGACTGCAAACTTTCAGTGGTCTTAAGTGAAAGAGGATGACTTTGTCGTGGGCTTCATTCTTCCTGCTATTTGCCATGAGCAAAAAGTGAGACTGTTCATATCAGTGGAGGCTAAAAACCTCTGCTAAGGTGGAGAAATCAGGCCTTCTGTTTTCAAATGGCCTTTTCATAAGGCTCACTGCACCTATGTTCTTTTCTGAAAGGGATTCCCTACTCTTATTCCCAGTTCCGATATAAAGATTTGTTCAGAGCCTTCACTGCTAGGCTTGGAGACTTTTGAAGCAAGTTCAGGTACTGACACATACTATTCTTGCCTTAGGAGATGGCTTTGACATAACTGTTTTTTTTGAGAGCTAGGATTTTATAAAGAGGAATTTTAAAAAATCAAACTTAAAAAAGCCCCTTACTTTCAAACCTTTTCCCACAAATGCACATATTCTTCTGCTACTTTCTTCCTCATTTTCTGCTCCAACAGTTATTTTTATTATTTTTGCAGTAGGATTGCATTCTGAAGATCGTATCTAAATAATATTGTTGGCCTCCCATGAGTCATCTTTTTAATTTTATGAGGAGTAAAATCGTTATTAAAAATTAACTCAAATTCACTAAAGAAATTACAATGAGTAGATAAAGGCAGTTCCCCACAGAGGAAGAAATGACCATCTTTTGCAG